GGAGGAGAGGTCTAGCGATCCTTAGCGATCCTTAGCAGCTTGAAGCTAAATAGCACTAGATAGTAAATTGACGGGCTAGAAAGCCATTTAGCCGCCCGTGCCAACTTTCCTGATGACATCATGGACAAATGCCGCAACTCAGGATTTTCATGGGATACATACACGACCATGCTATTCTTTTATTAATTCTAAGTTTAATTCTGCAGTTTGCTCCCAATTTGGAACGTCTGATGACTCCTCGTGGCCCTTGGCAACCCGATATGGCGAGAAAATTACGAATGTGGTTGCGAATATTGAATTCTAACATTGTTTATGTTAGAATTATAGAAATGCAATTCCCATACTCAATCAATTAAAGCACTTCACTCACGTAGGAGAGGTTCTGGCGTTAAAGACCCCGAAAGCCATTTCGGATGATGTTCTTAGACAAATTTCGCAAATGAAGACTCTCAGGTACGTTGGAGTCTCTCGGAGTACGTCAAGGCCTGCTTCCGGAAACGTAACTGCAGATTTTCCCTGGTTCGAAATAGTCCGTGATGAAAATGGACACGTAATTGGAACAACGTGGCTTGAAGGAAGGAACCTGTTTGGAGCTGAACGGAAGATCTGGGGAATTTTTTTTCGCGATATAAAGGCCTGAATCTATCTAACTTGAAGTTCGGAGACGCAGTGTTATTGTTCGTGTAGATCTCCAGATTTCCTCAGTAGGACATATAATGATTCATATATTTTCTCTAACTGGGCAGCTGATCTATAATTGCACCTTTTTGTATCACTTCCCAGAAGAATTATTGGGTATAGGTAGTTGCGTGCAAGCGAATATTTCAACTCAAACATATTGGACAGTGACGACTTACTAGTCTTAGACGAGGAGCTAATTTCAAGCTCGTCGTTACCGCAAAATAGGCGGCGAAAGTCATAGTCCGTGAACAATTGCCGGTCCTGGTGCTGAGCTTCACATATCAAAAACTGATTTTACTACATCTCACCTTTTGAGCATCCCTTGTCTCCTACCAGTCTCGGAACATACCCATCCGAAGGATAATTCCATAAAACTGAAAGCATGCACGTGAAATTTTGACTTGCATACTTTAACTATGTACTTGCTTACTAGGCTGTTGAAATAATAGAAAAAGAATCCGTATGTAGACTCTAACTCTGAGAGAATAGAGTTTCAAAAAGAATTCCGACACGGGGAATTGAACCCCGGGCTATCGCGACCAATCAATGAGAGGCGATAATGTTAGCCACTACACCATATCGGACTTATTTTAAGTTATTCATATATAGCTATCCAAGCTATCGATTGCTGATGCAGGAATGGACCTTTGTGGGTGCCTAATGGCCACAGCATGCCGCATGCCGCAGCTCCTTCCTGAGTCCATCATCTAGATTACCCAGCTGTATCCCATCCACCTACTATATACTTGACTCTCGCTACACCCACTCATGAATCATTGCTTATTCTCGATCTAAGAATATCTGACCCAAGATCCTGGGGATACGCCACGGATACGCACAAGGTAGATATCTGTCATTCGATACCAGTACCACACCACAATGTTAATAATATGGTCTTCTTTTGTTATAGTACATCGATATTATATACTGCATATACTGCAATTGAGTTCAACTCTTTGCCCAGGCGTTGTATAAGGACTACGCTCACGCCGCGATAATAGGATATAGCATGACAAAGTACGTCCTAATCTTCTGTTTCAGTAGCGAGAACTTATTATTTGACATTCTAGTTTGCAACCAAGATTAGAACCAGCACCTGTAGACTGGTTTCATCCTTTTCAACGATTTCCAATGGAGATAGTTCAAAAAATCTTCCAGTTTGCTACTGATCTGTCCCCACGCACTGGCGCTTCTTTAAGCGTCGTTTCTCAGGAAGTGTTTGCATGGGTTATACCTGTTCTGTACAGGTCACCTGTTATCGATACCATCCAAGTCGCTGCTTCGACAAATTTTTATAGAGCCAGTCTAACGCCGTTGGGCCGACGGAGAGTTATGATCTACAACAAGGCTCTCAGAAATGTTTTCTTTGTCAATTCCTACAATTTCCAATTTCTCAGAGGCCTTTCATGTCTACGCCATCTCGCACTACCGTTATTATGGGATAGAGTGGGACCTCTCCCTGAAACTGTCTGTGAGACGATAACGCACCTCTATTTCACAAATGGATTTAATCCTTACAATACCTCTCAATTGCGGTTCTCTTCAACAACTCATCTCTATGCCTTCTATCCCGGAATAGGTAGTCTAAATAGCCGAAATTTAACTTTCCAACCCGATGGCAGCGGTGGTCTCTTTACCTACCTTCCCTCACTCACCCACGTTATAATCGCCGTTCCATACCAGCATGCCCGTAGTAAACAAGCAATCAATTCGTTACTAGATTTCCTGGGTTCAAGTACTCGCCTAGTTTTTATTGGCATTATGCTGTACAGAAGGGCCGTGCAGGTCGCCCCTGCGGGGAGCTCACCGGCTACCCCTGATGAGAACGATATGGATATCGAGCTCCTCGATTCTCGATGCCATCTCTTACCATTTATTCCCTGCGATGCCAGAACGTGGAAGCTCTGGTGTGACGAAGTGACTATCTGGGACGCAGTTATGCGAACTTCCTCCTGAGGTGAGACTAGAGAGTTCATCACCCGAATATGAGGTAACCTGCTAATTCTAGTATCAGCCCAAATTCCAGCTTCCTCTTCATATTGTCTTGAATAGCGTTTATTTTGCGCGGCCCATTTTGCAGTTTAATACCTCCCTGTCCAGTCGCCCCACTGTTATTTCTTCGTCAAGTATCTTTCATTATTTAAATAATTTATCTCCATATCCAGGTTTTGTGCCTCGAATGATACCTCACTTGAATATTTGTGATCGTATTAGATCTCCATTCACTCCCGCAAACACAAATATCTCATTTAATAACATCTTCAAATTCTTCAGCCAAGGAACTTGAGATGTGTCGTGAGTTTGTGCTGGATCGAGTGCGGAATTCAAAATGACGTATATCCGCATAATATTATAATACCTGAGATATACCTCTCCAAGCTACATGTCAAAAGGATAAATAAATTTATTGGAACCGAGAAGCGCCTTTGCGAGTCGAGGCTGGGACCATCAGGAAAGTTGACACGGGCGGCTAATTGTCTTCCTAGCTCGTTGATTTGCTATCTAGCACTATCTAGCCCTAGGGCTGCTATGGATCACTAAAGATCGCTAAAGATCGCTTAACTCTGTCTGACCTTCATCTCCCTTCAAGGTCTCATGCAAAGCTGTGAAGCGAAGGTTTCAACAAGTCACGTGCAGTTCCGGCTGCCTTCGTCTTTCTAAGTGGAACCACCACTGCTATCCACTGCATCCACTTTGCTACCATCCTCATTCCGAACTGTAGAGTGTGCTGTAATTCTATGGCTTCTCTGTGTCACTCTGACAGGGTTAAATGATCTAGCTACTCTCTAGAGCTCTTGGACTGGCCGCCTTCGAAAGTCCCTCTTGAAGCAATCTCAAGGCATCTTCCTGCAAAGTCCATTTCTACTCTTCTCTCCTATCCTATGACTCTCATCTCTCTGCTGGCACATCTTAACATCCAATCTGCTGATCTACTGGCAAGATTTCTTTACTAATCTTTTCTTTACTTCTAGTAGTCACAGAACTTCGACTAGGGAGGTTTAAGCTGAGGCTATTTGGATGTTACAACTTGGTACTTGTATAAAGATGAGTTAAATTATATGCTCTTTTTTGAATTATTATTGATTTCAAGTGCCGCAGCTAGTTCTTGGATCCATACCGTCAATATTGCTTGAAGGTGATTTTCAACTGTTACGTCCTGATATCTAGGTGTCACTTCGGACTCCGGATATAATAGAATGAGTAAGTAATTTGGAGTCCGGATGATATGAACTGAAAGGACTTGGCTTCAACTTATATGTTGCACCCTTAGTCGTATGCATTGTCCTTATTTCAGAATGAAGTCAAGACGAACAAAAGGTCGGAGTCCAACAGTTGTCACAGACAAGTCGGTATAAGAGAACTCGGAGACTGAGTATAGTAGAACGGAGAGAGGATAGACAGACAGAGGCCAGATGGAGTTAACAGAACAATGAAGTTGATTTCTGACTACTGAACCATAATACAATTGCAGCTATTTATACTAAATGGAGCCCAATAATAAATGGAGTAATAGTCAGGTTCATGGAGATGAAACAGATTAGGAAAGAGTAATAATGAATGTGGTTGGTTGGCAATAACATAAAGCGGAGGCCGATGAGAATATAATGTAAAAGTCATGTGGAACATAAAACATGTAAAATCATAAGTGATGCTTGGCATCAATGAGAAATAAGCGAAATAAGAAAGTGGAGATCCAAAAGAAGGAACAACTGAGTGAAGTATAAGTAAAGACAGAGGTCTGAAGATAAATAGAATATAAACGAAAATCACAAACAATAAAAGAAATCAAAGATGAATAACATAACGGGGTCCGAATAAATCAAAGATGAATAAAAGATCGGAGGTCCAAAGAACGAGATCAGGATCAGGTCTTGACATCAACAAGTAAACCCAAGATCTTTGCAATGACCCCACTCTTGCATTTTACTATTTGTTCATTTCATAGTATTAGTAATTACTTTTGTATTCTCTTTATATTAGTGTTAGTGTATGTAGCTATGCTCTTAATACATTATATTTGTTCTAGTAGTCCCTGAAGAAATAAGAAATGCCCACTACAAAAGAGAGCTAGATTGGTAGAAGCCCGCTGATAGCTCAGTGTCGATCTATATAGCACTAGGTAGCTGCTGAGCTGGGACCCAACTACGTCGGCAAGGCTCTCGCTAAGCATGCTAGGGCAAGTAGGCAATGGCGGATTCGCTAAAAACGCTAGGGAGATATCTAGACTACCTAGCGCTACCTAGACTTAGCCAGGTTTCGTGATGGACAGGAATCGCTTCATTTGGAATTAGATAGCACACATCGGGAGATTTGAATAGGAACATACCGGAAGGTCTTCCACATGGCTTCCTTTCATAAGAGAAAGATTAAATGATTCGAGTTGTGCAGAATCATCATAGTTAGTGGATTCCTCTTTCGTCATGCATCGACGGCGCGGCGAAATGAAACGAGGCGTCCATACCACGGGATTGCGAGGTGAATATTCCCGATGCAGATCTTGTCGTATTATTCTCTGATTTATTTGCCAATAGAACTCGATATTGAACGCCATCAGGAGAGCGTTCGAGTATCTGAAACCCTATGTCAGGCAAGATTCAAGGATTGACATAAAACAGGTCTACGCACAATTTTCCTAAGAATATAGTTCTTCGAGAAACGAAATAATTAAAATCCATTGAAATAATAGGAATTATTTTGCTTACGGAGAAATGAAATAACTCTTCTCCTATATTGTAATATTTTTAAGCAGCGAAGTGCAATCGGGAACTAACCACTTACAGGTAAAGTAAAATATAGCACAATGCTGATAGATAACAACACTGACTGGATGTGGATATCGTTATTAGTAGTTTTTATGATTGCTGAATTGACTGGGGTTCCCTACCTGACATAGAGTTGGTTTCGACGGTGAGACGGACAATACTTTGGATTACGGTGGTGGACCGGATTTGTAATTTACCCGAAGCAATAAGAAGGTGTTAAAGATTAATAACGTCTTCCGTAAATCGGCCGATTTCAACGATTTCAATTTTTAGAAGATATACCAAATATGATAGACATACAGCGATTAAGGTATCAGCTGTTGCCGTCCCAATCAACCAGGTCTTAGAGTGGACAAACAGCTATAGATCACAACTTACTCTATGAGTAATATTGGGACTTACATCGAATCCAATGCTATCTATACGCAAACGTAGTGAATTGAAGTCAGCTGTGGCTGCTGCCTGAGAACCGTCGTTTGGGTCGGGGAAGCTATGTTGTTCCGGCGCGCTTGACATAACCGATAGCCAACGAGAAGGCCCCCGCCGGCTTGGAGAAGAGAGACCTGGACGAAATATATCAATGATGTAATATACGGACTGTTAAATCGATGAGAGTCGAGACATATAACTCACAGCGGCAGTAAATCCTGGCACAAATGGTTTTTGCTCAGCGCCCATATCCGATAACAGAAAAATAATTGCACGACTAAAGCAATGAGCGAGCTGAGGATTGGAGTGTCGTATGGGGATATGTATGTGTTGGATAGCCGCTTCAAGTCTCCAAATCCATGACAGAACTAATACCATAAGTCTACGGCGGTAAGAGCGGTCTGGATGGTAGCCAGGAGGAAAACCGAATATCCTGAAGGTATCTCGTTAACTCTAGCCGATAAGAAAATCATGGGAGTATGCACCCAGTATCTTAAATCGCCTTTTTTCCTTCGGAAAGGTGATATGATAAATATCTACCCAGAGAACACTTCAATAACAATGATTAACTTCCTGCCATATTGCACATACAAACTTGAACCACCAAGACGCCATATAGAGATCAATTAAAGAGGCCTTCGAAGAGCTGGAGATGTTAGTAAAATTATGACTTCAAGAAGGTATGGATGTGGGTCATGCAAGAGGTGCAGTTCTGCTCCAAAGGATCAGAACAAATTATTAGAAGAATTCCTGGAAGTAAATTGTCCACTTACATTTCAGCGATATTAGGGGGAATTGACATGGGCACCGCAGGTTCTAAAGAACCTGAGTTGGTCATATTCGCTGTGAATAAATCCCAAGACTGAAAGGTAGGAAGGAGAAAGACACTTAGGCCATACCGAACATCCCTGAAATGACCACCGATGAGTCTTCCTTGCCGGGCATTCCGATTCAGCTATTGAGGTGTGATCTCTCTGTGCCCAAGACGGCAACATACCTGAGAGGTCATTTTGTGGATGGACTCAATCCGTAGTTCATCTCACCATTGCGGATCCCTGCAGGGATCCGCGTCTTTAGATTTCTTCGAAATAGACAGTCTGACCGACACATTTCAGAAATGCCCAAACGTTGTAGAGGCAATGGCCTCTTCATCGGAATCTCCCCAGCACCATTTCCATCACTCGCATTCGCTTCTTTCTTCGAATAGACGGCGCATTAAACTTAAACCAGGCACTATTGATATAGATCTAGTAACTCAATCTCATGATCATCCACTACTGAATGTCACCTCACTTGGAAAAAAATAGTCCCTTAGTGAGGTATACCCTCACTTCTCGTGATGCAAATATCTAAGTTATCTAATAATATTTTCAGCTAAGGGGATGCGTCACGGTTTAAGTAGCTTAACTATGTCCACGGACTTATAAAACAGGTAAGTACTTGCATACAAGGAGCCTCTATCCTTAAGGAAAGTAAACTGTATTTTTACGGCATAATGGGTTCTACATCTCCGTCAAGAGAAGTAGTTTATGTACAATCCTGTCCAATCTAGGACATGTCATCTGGGAAACATTGCTGATACGCTAAGAATATCAGTTGGGCGTCATCACTGGTCGCCCAATGGGGGCTGATATTGATGGAATCGGCCTAAGCGAGTCTCCGCTTGAACCACCTCTCCCGCACGATTTCTGAAACCATTGTGTTGCTAGTAGTGCGGCGCTGTTCATACGTCAACTGCAGTGTTTTACTACTTCGTTCTCACATTGGGACCCGAAGATCCAATCGTTAAACGACATTTTATCCTGTAGGATCTTGTTCAACAATCGTTTCATGTTTCGACATCTCACAAACTCATGTCCGTTAGGCTGCTACATTTCTTTCTTTGGAGATCACATATTTCTTGTGGTGCCTTATAACCAAAACTGCTAGAATGCCACGGTGAGCACGTTCTCTCTAGATACTTATCTGCAATTACTCAATGAGGTGCTTAGAATATTTGCTATTTTTAAGAAACACAAACGACTTCACAATGGACATTTCTCTACACCAAAACACTCTTTGGAGACCTTACCATTACTCGCACCTTTATCGACCTCATCGGTTCAGTGTCGTCCCGCACCTTTCTCACATATTTTCCAACGCTTTCCCCTGGAAATCGTGTACAGAATCTTCCAAATCGCCACGGAAGATTCTACTGCAACAGGCGTAAACTTATGTCTCGTCTCACATGAGGCATTCACCTGGGTCCTTCCAGTGCTATATCGGTCTGCTGTTCTTCGTCTTTCGAGGTTTACATCGGATCAATATGACCATGGCGATTCCTCAGAAGTTGTTCAACGAGCAAAACATGCACATCGAAAATTTACACGAAATGCATTCCTTCATTATGCTGGAAACTATCAGACCCTTACGGAATTATCGGACGTCCGGCAGCTCGCGATTCATTCTCTATCAGATTCCCTTAGAGTTCAAATTGCAACGCCTTTCAATTCAGTCACTCATCTATACCTTGTGGGTGGCTTAGACATGCGTTCTGAGTGCCTGCTGCATTTCCCCTCCCTCACGCATTTATTTGCATTTTATTTACATCTTGACAAACTTTCATGGGTTTTAGAGCTGGACATTGGTTCTTTCCATCATCTTCCATCCTCCCTAACTAATATCATTATCTCAATGCCATTCTATCGGGATTGGATGGGTCTACTGCATCGTCTAGTTGGTTGGATACTTGAGAACCCTATATCTTTCCTCGGTGTCATGTCATATGGAACTAGACACAGATGTATCACTGTGCCGATACTCCAACGAGCGTTCATGGACCACGCAGAAGTCTGGGATGGAAGACTCCATTTTCTGCCGTTTACTCCCTTAATGCCGAAGACATGGCGGCACTGGTGTGATTCCAACGAGACAGTCTGGGACAAGGTCATTTCTATGCCCAAGGTGCGCCTTTTGAAATTGGATCTGTATCTCAGGCTCAAATATCTTATTTGATGCCAGACCTCGTATACAGAAGATGACTTCTAGCCTATAGGCCCATCCTTATTTCGAACTTCCGACGCAGAAGGGCCCGCGACTGTGATAGTTTTTAATGCACAACTTCTCAAGGGAAAGTCACAATCATTGATATCAACAAGCCAATATTTCGGTAGTAAAAAAGAAGAAAGGAAGGTATGCTTGTAAGAAAGCATATATGACGTGGAGTCGATCCTAAGGGCAAAAAATCAAGGGTGAAAATGCAGTCAAGGACATGCCTCTTCCTATAATACCTCGTTCGTCGTTTACCAGTTTTATGAGCTATTTCAGTTATCAATTTCTTGGTAGAGAATATTGAATATTCTTTAGATGCGAGCCTCAGCTCCCCTGTCATCACTTATTCTCTAAATATGTATACATGCATTCGTGCCGCATGGATGAAAAATAAGGACAAAATTCTAATAAGGGGAATCGAACCACTAGCTATCGCGCGCCAAATACTCGTAGGGATGAGTCGTATAAAAGGCGATAATATTAGCCACTACACCATGTCGAAGATATTATTAGGTTCACGACCTACATACTGGATCCGGTGGGCGATTAAAGGGAGTGCGAAACAGAGAGGCGAGGAATCCCTGGTCATTGGAATTTAACAGGTGCCAGTGAGCGCTCATTTATCTGGTATCCTTTGAAGAATAATTTTGAGGGAGGTTGAGATAAACGTGGTTTTCACGTAGTTATATAATTGAGTATTGAAGAGTCGCAATTAAAGAGCTCAACACATCAAACGTAGGCTGTGACGTCGTAACTGACGCGGCTTCTAAAAAACCTATCAAGGTCATTGGTCTGCAATACTCAAGTCCAATCTAATCCTCTAACATAAACTGCTTCGAAGGGATTTCCGTGAAATAGTGGTTATTTTAGAGTTATTAATCACAAGAAGTTCTTGTCATAATCATTAGGTTGCAGGCTGACGAGCTCCATCGAGAGCAGGGGTGAATAATGGCACGACATCGCTTATAACAGAATGAGGATGAAATGTCGATTAGACTGGTCTTTAAAGGACTTTCCTGCCCGATACGTATTCGAGAAAAGTGGTTGGAGGATTACGGAGCTGATACTGAGATCTCCAGAATTGATTAAGAAAAATTGTAACTTGGGAGATAGTGCCCTCCTCGTACTCAGTGATGCCTTTGTTGGTACTGTAAGTAAAATAATATATATAAATTCCGACACAGGGGATTAAACCCCCGGCTACCGCGTTCCAACTCTTTCTTGTGAAAGAAGTATGAGAGGCGATAATGTTAGTCACTACACCATATCGAATATATCTCATGTGCATAATATCGGGCCAGGGCGTGTATGGTAATTGCGCCATGCAGTCTTTATTTTTGTGAACATTTTGGGCCTTAAGATTCTGAAGGGAATAAGGAAAATGTAAGCGGCAATAAGTCACACGACGACGGAATAGCGAGATATGTTGAAAACTAGCTATTTACTCACGTATATTCCCCCGCCCGCGGCATAGGCTGACCTATATCCAATAAGGTCAAATTTCTGCAATTGACAGATCTAAATGGGTACTAGAGATACTGAAGTCATGTATCTTTATGGGTTTAACTAGATGTGTAGGAGAGAAAGAAATTCGAAAGATGATGAATTCGGCTCCATTTGAAGTCTATTAAAAGAGAGTAAATTCTAACCTTTCTTTAGAAAGCACGGGACGGGGACCTTGAAGGGAGCTAGATTCGACCTCATCATGTCCTGCCGATGTGGAGGTTTTGAGAAGAATAAAAATTTTCCGCCCCTTTTTTTTCGATGGATTGCAGCTAACTGTCAATAACTTTAGGCGGATAAGGCAAGAATAAGGGCTATCAAAGATTTTACTGGCCGAGGGTTGGTTCTTCCAACCGAACTTCAAGCGCGGGTAAGATCCAGAGTAAACGTTACTGCAATAACCTATCTTGGCCTATATTGCTTTATCGTTGCATGACGGCACTTCTGGCATTTCCATTGGCGAAGATCTGATTTGGATGTCAATGGACGTGTTACCGTCCAAAATTTCTCCGGTGTGGTTCAGGCTTGGCAATCTAATATTAGAGAAAAAGCTTGATTAATTGGTGGCGTATTGTAGCTTTACAGTAAGAAGATCTGTTCTTCCAGATTGAGAAAGGTCATCTGCACCTAAGTAGACATTATCACCCCGAAGATTTTGGCCCAATCATTGACTATGCCTGCAGCGTGCGATTCTGAGACCTAGGTCTGCCGTCTGAGGCCGAGACCAGTATGGACTCCGCGCCATCTTCGGAATATTCGTGCCGCCTATTCAACCAACAACTTGAAGCGTTGACGGAGATGGATTCTGACAAGAGGGCATGTTAATAAGGAGAGGAAATTTATGCGGATCCCCTGGTCTGCGGATACGGCTGTTCAGAACTTGAAGCGGGTCTGACGGAGGATAGTCACTAATCCACATATCATTGACATGGATGACTATGAGATTGATCCATAACAATAGGGGCTAAATTCAGCTCATGCCAAGTCGCTGAACATATGGTTGCTGCTAGAAACTTGCTAGAAACTCCCAAGGTAACGTATTGACAATCTTGTGCATCAAGATTGAACCTTGCGGTCTGCTTGCGGTAAATATATTACCAAGCGCGGACAGAGATGTGTGGAGTAAATCCTCTAAAGATAAATATAATGTTGGATTGTCGTGCCAATTTGGAATTGAACATTTTCGGTGCCGGTGAATGTTTGAACGTTAAAATGTTGTTAGAATGCTGAAATGGTAAATTGTGAGTAAATATACTGGGGTTGAATCCAATGACTATTTCTTCAAGGACTTGTACTTTGATACTTACAATGGGTACGGGTTGGATGTCGGTGACTGTGTAGAGGATGAGTCCGCATAACGTATCATCAACAACTGTTGGTCTTGGGCGTCTAATGCAATTGTCACACTGTCACCATCACGTCTCCGATCGACCTTCGGAGGGCTGATGACATGCTGATTTACTGCGCCTCATCGCCACTCTGCAGCTATTACACCCTCTCGAAAGCATTTCTGCGAGGTTTCTCATCGGTAACAGCGATCTCTTCTGCCCAGTACCTTTTCAACTTTAGTTTTCTTCCAAATTTTCTTTACTACATCTCATCTATCGCGTCAGGAGACTTGTGATAATGCCAGCGCACGAGTGGATTAATGAGGCTATTGGTGAGTGAATGATAATAAATTGGTCAATTCTGTCTGCTAATTATGTTACTGGGTGGCGTCGCTTCTGTGTTTCTTACGTGCCCCTTAAGTTTCTCCCTGGTTGTCCGTTATGCCTGAGGCGGGGCGAGGATGGATTTGGTCAGAGGTTCGTACTATTCCATAAACGATTGATTTTACAATGTGTTTCTTGACGTTTTTCGAGCAGAAGATCCAGTATCTCCGTGGACTGCTTGAGCTACCTCTTGAATATTCCCAGCTCTCCGTTCCTTCTATAAATCTGCCCTCGCCGGGCAGCCTAATCTCCTCAATCTACCAAGCTCCAATGCGTCTTTCAACTGTCTTCGTTGCTCTCTTTCCCGCATTGTCCGCGGTGTCGAGTCCTACCCCCACCTCGACTGCCAGTGGTGCGACCACCACGCCAGGCTCAACAGCTGGAAGCCCAAGTCAGCCCTACATATTCATCGACAATGGATATGCTGGCACTTTGGGATTCCTCACTACCGTGTCTGTGAGCGGCGTAAACGTCGCTGCTCGCATCCCGGATTATACCCTGGCATCCAATTCATACATGAACCGTTCCATTTTTATGGTTCAGCCCTCAAATGCTACATCCTACCAATCTGTGCAGCTTTTGACCACCGAAGGTCCGACCGGACCTGCTCCTAAGGGATTGAACTTCGTCGCAGTTCAGGGCACCCAAGCTGAAGGATCTCCGGGATTCTTTATCAGTCAAGCCAATATCAATGTCTTCAATGCCAATACCAATATTTTCCGTACATTTGTCCACTGTCCGAGCATCACAGTGCCCGGTACTGTCTTACCACAGATTTTCTGGGCTCCTGCTGGCGTGGCGGCTCCCAATGGCTGCTTCGATACGCAATGGGCCGCTCGTTCCAGATAGGTTCACCATGGTACGAAAATCAGAGATGTGACAGTCATTCCCGACGCTTGCGTGAATGGAGAGAGTTGGGTTTAGGATTGGATTCCGGGATCTGCCACATATGAACTTGAACGAATAGCGATCAGCAACGCACTGTTTGTTTGACGGAAACGTGATAAAAGATTGTAACGAATTTTTAAATACAATGCGAACCTTGTACCATGTATTTTTCTCCTCTCAGAAATATTCATCTTTTGGCCTTCATTTTCTTTCGTCCGTACTCAAACTGGCATCTTTGTTGCAGGCGTGTTCACTAATACATGTCCGAGTCTGTAAATGAGCAGCGACTTGATGTTAGAATTATTGATATTCAGTATTCTTGACTTGAATAAATTTTCTTGAATTATCAACAAGACGACGAAAGGGACGATCATGGTAGTAGATTCCCAGTGGTTCTGACTATATACGAAATTAATTCTAGATAAAACCAGTAGAAGTGGGGTATGTAGCTTCTAAGAGCTCTTTAAGTTAAAAGAGCAAGCTTCGATCGGCCATATGTCATCCTCTCATATCCATGCCGAAAATGAAAATGAAAATGAAAATTTTGATACGGGAAATCGAACCCGGGCTATCGCGCGCGCCAGGTACTCAGTTACGAGTCGTATAATAGGCGATAACATTAACCACTACACCATGTCGGATGATTGTTATTCAGCTCTATGTGTATTGCATCCGGGAGGCGGAAAGGAATTTCAAGCGGGACAGAGACTGGCAAAAACTACGAGTTGCAGTTGAGAAGGAACTTGGGGGCTCAAGCTCTAAAGGCTTAACGTGCCTAGAGAAATCATTTAGACCTAAAATACTTCAGAATTCCTTTAAATATAATGGCACCGTTCTTAAGACCATTCAGAAGTCTGAATTCGAGCCACCATTTCCGTGCAAGAGAGATTCACACACGAAGGCCGCAATTTCGCTCAAGCATTTTGCACAGTCAGAAAGATAGCGCGTCTGGCAATAGTGACGATTATAATGTGCTGCAACGTAGGACTCGGCTAAATGGCTGATGTATCAGAAGTGTATCTTCGGTCAACTTCCGGCAATGTTTTCGATAACTGGTCATTCCAGCTATATATATCGACGAATCATCATCATATACACTCTAAATAGTTGTAATCTTGGCTTGGAGACTACATTGATGCTGCTTAAAAACCCTGAACTTGTAGAAAACACACTAATCTTTAACCCAAACTTGATTAAACGCCAGAACCATATCAGAAAAAAAGGAAAGACAAGAATAACGGAATATAGATGCTCACTACATATATAGGCCATGCATATTCAATTTTATACCATTTCCTCTCCTTACAACTCATTTGTAAAATTTTGGTTGATATTCAAAGTCAGGGAATTATCCAACACCATTTCTGGTACCACGAGGGTAGCCGGATCGAACTCCAAATGTCTGATTTTTATATAGGCATTGTCCAACCAAAGGGGTGAGGGTTCCCCAATAAGTGAGGACTCAGATGGTTCAAGATTGAATCCGTACACAGATGGGTACTGACCAATACCATAGAAGTGCAAAATTGCCATGTAACAGGCCTCTGCCTGGTTGGTGGAAAACTGGAGAATACGATCATTTGGACTGAAAAATGAATTAAAATGATATTTCAATTGATATATGACTCTTGAATGATCAATATCTGACCAACTGATTTCCCGTGCCATATGCGCCGCCAATGTGATGGCATCCGGATCAGTCGAAGTCTCAATAACCCAACTGACCACCTCCCATTCATGTATTTCCACGAAGGACAGTTTAGTCTTTGCCAGGTCTTCCTTAAATGCAGATGAGAGGGCATGACTCGGCAATAGACGGCCGTTATTGGAGGCTTCAGGCTCCACAACATCAGCAACGGTAGAGCGGGCTTTGCCGTCGGCAGAAAGTTTTCGTTTCCATACTTTGATGAGCACTTATTCTCCACAAGCTCACCGATACGCATCTTAACGCCTTCTGACAACGCATACTGAACCTCCCACATCCCATCCTTCCTTTCATCCTCTCCATGCGGAGGTGTGAACGTCGACTCTGGTTGGAGCTTCAAACCGACTTCTTCTGCTATCACCTTGATCGCTTCCGGACTCATGACTGAACGAACGTTAACCATATTGTTTGAATTATGACTCTCCCAGCCGCAATCGCCAGTATTGCCAATACATGAAACAATGCAGATGTATCACGTACCTCAGAAGCCCATTCGGCGAGATAGGTCCGCTTTGCACGTTTCGCCGGTGCTTATAACGTGTTGAGAAGAACTGTAGGTGATTTGAAATACCAGATGCAATGAGCAAGGACGGCTACATCGTATATGATGCTGGAATCTGTCGTTGAAAGATAATCCACAGGGTCTTGGGGATATTTGAACTCGATCTGACCAGGACTGAAACAATTTGTACTAAGACAGCTCTGTCCATGTCCGAGAGGAGGCGTGCCTACAAGGTTTCTTATACGTGAGTCAAATGAAAATATAGGTGAGCTATTCACCATAATCAAGCGCCCCAGGATCGATCGCAATCACCTTCCCGCTCTCCCCAGGTGCAGTGGCAAAGACAGCTGTCGTATCGCTCTGCCCGCATCCGAGTTCCAACTTGACATCTCCTTCATTGACATCCCACCTCTTGATTAGTTCGATGCGCTCAAGGGTATTATCTAAATACTCAAAGCCTATGGCAAGGGAAGCGAAGATTGAGTCGAGGCAGTTGTCTGAGTGTCTCTGCGTCTAGAGGGATGGACATCCTGGGAAGGTGTTAAGACACTGGAAGCAGCTGATTATAGATCGATGAGGAAATTATTAATAATGGTCTATCGAAAGAATATTTCAGCTACAGGAATAAATATATACGTAGAAAACCATACATTTATTAAAAATTCGAGGTTCCACCGTGGGTTTGTGACGGGTTGTCCTGCTTCTCAGTCGTTGGGGGCCCATTGGTTTGAAATGGTTCCAGAGTTCTAAAAAAAGGGCTTACAAGGCACTTCGGCGAAAAGAGAACATAGCATCCACTGCGTTGGTATTGAGATCTCTCCCGCCGAAACTTCACGATCATTCGTTTCCTTGTTAATCCGATGTACTTAATGAAAGTTTGTCGTTTGTCTGGACGCGTTCCGATGTCCAATTTGGGGATTTCTTTTCTTCGTCGAATATCACTGGCATGACAGCTTTGAGAAGGAGGAAGAAAGCAACCAGACACGGCAGTGGTGCGCTGTGAAAGTACAGAGACGCGTTGCGCACATAAGCATCAGCGCGTTACTGGGACCCACGAGGACCCACGTCAGTTTCTCCACAACACTGCGAGAATCAAGTCACGTCTCGCAACTCATGAACGACCCTACCACTCAGAGGCTGGATGGTGCCGCTCTCTACAACTTTCTCGAGATCCTCCAAGGCGTCCAGTCCTACCTTTAGCATGGTGCGTCTCGTCGTTCTCCTCAACACCGCCCCCAACGATGTTTAGCCCATGAAGAAGCTGACGCACTTGTTCCTCCTCGGAAACAATATCGAAGATACCGAGTTCAAGGACATTTTATGGATACTCTTCGTACTTACACCCGCGCTGTTGGCAAGGACCCGACGTCATGAAGCAAGCCTTTGTCTACGTCGAATCTGGTAACTCTCGCCTCGTCAAATCAAGCTTCATCTCTTTCGGTGAGATGGCTGAGGTCTTTGGCGAGAAATCCGTGCTCTACGGGTCCACTATTGTCCCTGTCGGCTGGCTTTGACGAGAGCTTCAACGACCCTGCCAACGGAGGTGTCGACCAGCTCCTCATGACCATTTCCACCATCTTCATCGAGAAGCAACACACCGCTTCCTTAATTGGCACCATTTTTGTTGCTGCCCAGATCCATTTCCTGCCTTAAATGAAGACGTTTACACTTGCTTTGGTTGAACTTCTTCCGAACTTCACACCGAAGATCTGCGCAATCCAGTCGATGATTCGCTCTTCACTATTAGGCATGGTATCAGTGTTCTGAGCCGACAGAATGCCTTCCTGGTTTCCCCGTCGTAAGTGTCTTCTGTATTGTTTTAGCCACAACGTATACTCAAAAGACCTTTTCCAGAAGATTCTCCCACCAGAATATCGACTTGATCAAGCACATTCTGGAGGGTGTTATCTTGGCTTTTGCCGAGGACGATGGCAAGTGAGTAATCTCTTCCGTTCCATGGAAAAAGTGCTCGGCTTTCTTCTATGATGATGCATCGTGCTCAGCTCACTACAGCAACTATTGTGTATGAAATGAACACAACCTTATTTCTGATTCTCTTTTCCCCGCTCACTGTGTTCTTGGACTTGTACTAACGCTACAATCCCTTCTCTAGATGCTCCGTCTCCACCCTCCTCGTTGGTCGTGCCGAGGCCATCAACGAGATCGGTCTCGGCTTCGAGTTCGTTGTCCACCGTGAGTGGTTATTATGGACGGCTTGTTGATATCTACATTCAGATCTTCAGGGTATCAAACAGGAGAAGGACCCGGATGTTCAGCAAGATGATTTCGTCGATGAGGAGTTGCCTGAGGAACACTCAAGCGGCGGTGATGTCGCTGTCGTTGCACCTCCTTTGGATGAACAATTCATGGAGTGTTTCTAAGGGTTCTTTGTCCTTATGGTTGAACTATAGTATGTATGTATTTTGCGTATAAATAAATAAAATAAAATTTAATAGTATTCCGACACGGGGAATTGAACCCCGGGCTATCGCGTCCAAATCTTCACATTGAGAAGATGTCTGAGAGGCGATAATGTTAGCCACTACACCATATCGGAGGATACTATACTGATATGCCTGGCAATTACTCCGGAGGACTGGGAAAGATTGTGCTAGGTGCGACGAGTACTCTTGTAAGGATTTTAATCATTGAAGGCTTCGACGTAGAATTTTGAATCCATCAAAGTAAAAGAAGTTAACGAAGATAACAGGAGCGCGGCACAAAGAGAATGCCTTCTTATCCCACTAAATAGAGGCTGAGGGGACCGTTCAACCGCCCGAACAGGTTTCCTTCGGTGATGAAATTCTATTTCCCTAATGCAGGAATTCTTTCAGAGGGTTAAAATCTATGCGGATCTTGTAAAGGATATTCTCCTTGATGAGGAAGTCCCCATTGATAACGATTATCGACTGTCGAAGCGAGACTAGCCGGACATGACAAGAGGTTGTATGGTTATTGATTTTCGACTTTCTCCGAATCCTTATTGCATTTTTCAGCTACAGAAAATCGAATAAACATGTCACACAATCAATTAGGCTCCTACCCAGAACTGGGAGATCTGTTCAGAACGCGCCGAAAGCTGAGGATTGACATCTCGTTACATACTGAATCAACGAAGATTTAGCCAACGCAATAGCTTACAGCGGCTGATATACGTCGAAGCATCAACAGGGTCTCAGTTCATTAGAAACGTTGGGACTTTGAGAGATAAGACGATCGAAAAAATATAGTGAGATGAAGGCGTATCATTTTTAGCGTATGTACGCTCCAATTTCATGGCATCAAAATTACTGCTGCGAGATAGTGAAAAAGGTATATTTCTTCTATGAACCTGACTTTGACTATATAGGTGTATTTCATGGGTTTTTGGAAGCATCTGGGAGGGCTATCACTTGCAGCGGCGTGCCGTGCACGATTGATTTCGGTATCCCGTTATTTGTTCACGAGCAAATGTGGAGCCGCTATGGGTGTGTTAATTAAACCCTAGAATACTCCCATAAATAATATGAGGCGTGATTGCCAACGGTTGGTTCAAAATTCTTCATTGAGTCCGAGTGAAGGTGAACTTGAAGAAAGAACGACAAGCAGAAGGACCCGACGATGATGTCACTTAAAAGTTAACACCGGTTTCCGCCACTTGTGCACATGAAGTTTCCTTTAAATTCTCACCAAATTCCCAAGAAAACAAGTAGAGTATTTGAACTTAGTCTCGATGCAGCAGTCGCGGAGCGGCTAGGAGGATCATGAGCCGGTTCGACCATCCAAATAAATACAGACAGTTGTGGAGACCTACTTAGACGCCATTGGACCAACGACTGTTGGTGTTTGAGAGTTTGAAATTGCCCGTAATTCAAAACTGGTGAAATTTTTAAGACAATGATTTTAATGAATTGTCCAAAGCGTTCTTCAAGATCAGCGGCCGGGCTACACAGTAGTGGCCATGAAAAGTTTGACCATCGAAAAGCATTATTCAGACAGTCATGGGGACCTAGATTAGAGCAACAATAGTTGGAGGCTTTCAGTTTAAAATTGTCTGCAATTCAAAGCTGCCGAATAATTAACGGATACAGAGTGCGATACCTCGGTCCGAGTCAATGATTTATTCGCTCCTCAAAGCAACTGCCGGATCTCAAAATAAAAGGTAATCTCAGGGATTATTGCTCTCCAATGCTTTATTCGTCTTTTAAGCCAATATGAAATACTAATAAACTGACTGCTAGCTTAGATGTCCTCATCTGACGAGCCTACAAATAATAAAATCTACGACGTAATGATTCCCATGTTTAATACCAGTAAACCCCATACATCAAAAAGAACTCAAATTAATCTCAAATCTTGCATCTGGTATTAGTCTGAATCGCCGTCGTCTCGTGTTCCTCGTTATAGCACGAACCGCACTGAGCGCGAACCGGTGCCGACTCGGAGCGCTACCAAGGTCGCTGCAATAGAAAGTTTATTCAGTATAGGAGATAAACGGACTCAGAAATAAATCGTCTCGAGTCTTGACTTGAAGGAATTAATATTCTTTGGAGATCAATAAGTAATCTCCGTTAGCAAGTTCAGGGTTAGTGAAACTTTAACAGTCATTTTAATATCATACTCTTAATACACAGAGTTTGTCTGGAAACTTCAAATTACAGCGCCCCTATGAAGACACCCGTCCATACGTCCATCGATGTTATTTCCTTCCGCGTAGCCGGAGCATGAGCCTCAGTTGCATCCAGCAACGCCTGAATCACTGCCTTTTCTCGCTCATTCTCCACAAGCTCACCGAGACGCCTCGCGACGCCTCCTGATAACGCATACTGAACCTCCCACATCCCATCCTTCATCCCACTCTCTCCATGCGGAGGTGTAAAAGTCGACTCTGATTGTAGCTTCAATCCGACTTCTTCTGCTATCGCCTTGATCGCCTTCGGACTCATAATTGAACGAACGTTCGTCTGGCTGTTTGGATTATGACTCTCCACGGCTGCAATCGCCAGTACAGCCAATACATGGGAAAACGCAGATGTATCGCTTGCCTCAAGAGCCCATTCGGCGAGACAGATCCGCTTTGCCCGTTTCGCCAGTACTTGTAAAGTTTTGAGCAGAACTGATGGTGAATTGAAGTACCAGATACAATGCGCAAGGACGGCCACATCGTATATAGTGGTGGTGTCTGTGGTTGAAAGATAATCCATAGGGTCTTGTGGACATTTGAACTCGATCTGACCAGGACTGAAATTCGCAATAAGGCAGCTCTGCGCCTGGCCCAGAGGAGGCGTACCTACAAGATTGCTTATAGGTGAGTCAAACAAATGTATATAAATGAGCTATCCACCATAATCAAGCGCCCCAGGATCGATCGCAATCACCCTCCCACTCTCCCCAACTGCGGTTGCAAGGACAGCTGTCGTATCGCCCTGCCCGCATCCGAGTTCCAACACGATATCTCCTTCCTTTATATCCCACCTCTTGACTAGTTCGCTGCGTTCGAGCGTTTGTCCTATCTGAATAGTCAGAGCCTTTGGCGAGGGAAGCAACGATTTCGAGGCGATTGACTCTGCGTCGAGAAGGATGGACATGCTAGGAATGTGTTAAGACATCGAGAGAAGCAGATTATATAGCGATAGCGGACTGAAAGAGACCATGCTGTTACTGTTGTTTAAAGAGTTAAGTCCGGGCAACTGCCACGAGGTATGACAGGTTATGACTCGTCATCGGACATCACCGGTCAGCAAGACCCTGCACACTCTGCCAATCACAAACTCACTCGAAGTTTAAGTCCATGCAGATAGCAGTTTATTTTTCTGGATACGATTACTAGAATCGACTGTAGATGTACTTGTTGGGAAAGGATAGCAATTAATAATCGGCCATGACGTCACCAACGGAAGCGGTTGCTGCTATGGTGCAGTGCGCCTAGTCACCGCTTGTTTTGTACAACGGGCGCTAATGGCCACGGTGCCGTGAGGGATTTTCTGTTTTTTATTTCCTCTAGTAGAAATGAAGGTAATGGTGATAGGAAGAAACTCTCTAAAGGGATTTTATTTATTCTCAAAACTGAGGGAGATGACTTTTTTGTCCAACACTAGTTCCGCCGCCTCGGCTAAATATATTTATATTAATTAAAAAATATTTAAAAAAATACGGAAAAATATTGGAAAAATGCGAAAAAAAATGCAAAAAATAGATAAAAATAGGAAAAATATTTAGGAAACAAGGTTAATGATCAAAACGAGTGGCAATGGACTCAGGGATCCTCCGGTGTGAAGCGTACTTTCTTGAGCTGAAGTTCCTGACATGCTCCTGAGCATCTTTTGCAGCCATACCACCTTCATATGCTGAAACCCATTGTTGTATTCGATGCTCCCACTTTCGTATGGTCTGTATTGGCACAGATTCCAAGGCTTTTGGCATATGGGACAAAAAATCGATTTTTTTTCCGGCGAACCCGATTCCGCCGTTAAGCGCCCGTTGTACAAAACAAGCGGTGACTAGGCGCACTGCACCATAGTTGCCAATATCGCTGAGCGCTACATTATGTAGTGTTCGGGACCAAAACAGAATATGTGAAGCAGTCTGTAACTATGATTGTGGAAGTCACTTCCCTGCAAATTTCTGCAAGTTTTTTGAGAACATCATATGAAAATTTAGATAGTAAACTAGTATATATTTTATCATAGAAATTACATTTCGAAGGGGGGGCTAATTAAGCGCCCACAACCGCCAAATTACATTAAGTTCATCAACATGGCGAGAAGTAAAATTATATACAAAGCCTCTACTCCGTTGATTTACTTTTCATAGCCATAAAAAGTTTAGCATCCTTTCCCTTCTTTTCATCCTTTGCCTCAATTAATTCAGCTTGAGTGACACTACCTGCAGGCTCAATCGAGCCATCGAACCGATGCTTGGCTGCTTTCATTGGGTTCATGCGAGTGGAGAGCTTCCAGACTCGTTCTCTGTGCTCGATACGAGTTTCAATTGGCAATCCGAGGTCTGGCACATCTAGAAAATCATCCGAGAATTGGTCTGATTAGTCTCGGAAGGCTGGTAACTCAAGTCTTGCTCGTCATCAGCATCAACATCTGGCTCAGATTCCGGGGCTTGTTCATAATCTGAAAACTCTCTCGTTGAGTAAATCGACCATTGGTTGTGCAAGAAATAGACAATTTCTTCTTGCTTCGAGCCATTTGATTGGTGACAGCTGAGAGAAACTGACGTGGCATCATTACATAAGCATCACGTGATCCGCAACCGCCAAATTGGGACAACAATACCCCGGTCTATTGATGCAAATCCATTCCGATAGATCTCAAGAATAGCCTCTAAAGAATACAGAAAATGGTTTAAAAAATCAGTCTATTGTGTTTTGATTTTCTATTACAGTTCTGAGTTATACACTATTGGCTTACAGGGAACTGAATTCCACAATCATACATGGGCAGATAAATTACGATATCTGTCGGGGATGACGTGTAGAACGGGAATTTAAACGGGGCCTTGCTAGCTCAATCGGTAGAGTGTGAGGCTTTTATAATTCAGCTATGAAACCTGAATTTGTCATCTCAAGGTTGCGGGTTCGACCCCCGCGTGGGGCTAGATGCTTTTTTCTCTCATTTCTGTATGAGAGCGGTGAGGAATTCAAGAACATGACGATATAAGGCTGTGCCTGGTCTAGATAAATTTGCTTACAGCTTCGCTCACTCGCGCCATCATTGGTCGAGCTTGCGAAGACCATTTCTACGGATAGGACCTCAAATCCCTTAGGGAAGCGCCCGAACCTAAATGGCCCACAGTTGTCCACAATGGCACGCCGTGGGAACCTTGCCGTTGTGCTGCGAGAACTGCCCCATAGCCGTCCACAATGGCACGCCGTGGGAATCCTCCCGTTGTTAAGCTGCCGCTGTCAACTCACGCTCCTTCCGAGCGGATTTCTCATGCTCCGTAAATAGAAATTTCTGTATATATGCTATTTAGAATTGTTCTGATCAATAAATCCTTTTAAATCACTCTTAAATTCGAAATAAATGCAAAAAAAAAATACAGGAAAAATAGCGAAATAAGTACTTCTATTCTGCTGTGATTATGTCAGCTGCTGAGTTTGGATATCTGTGCAATGCTGTCTGTGTGCACAGAAATTTGTCCCTGTCTTTCTTTGAGTACTTGAACCTCTATTAAATATCTCTCTATTATATCTGAGGCACTGCACTGCTCAGTCCAATTTCTGAAGTCCAGGTATCCTTCTGTGAGTCTACTTTTAGTTCTGGTGGGAAAATTTCACTGATTTCCATTGATCTCTTGATAGGATTTCTAAACCTGCTTTCTTTTCTTGTTGTTTTACAATCAATCAATAACCCTTGCACAGGGTCAAGGTATCTGGCTGGTAGATCAAGCTTAGTCTGCAATGAGGGATACCCTACAGAGGGATATTAGATGTCAGAAAGCATTCCTCTTTCAGTTTAATGACTATGGTGTTAATTTTGATTTATATGAATTTTTTGAATAATAATTCTTAATCAATCCAAATGTATATATTTTTACTTATCTATTTTATTGCATGGAAACATTAAAAAAAACATTACTATAATTCTAGTACCATCCCATGAAATTGTAACATGCTTCCACTATGTTTTTCATGCCAGCCATGACAACATAAACCCCCTTTCTCTTAAAAGAAGCTGAAAGTGATGGAAAAAAAACCTACTACCATTACGAAGCCATGAAGCTTGACCTTTACCATGTGGGGTTTACTCCACATAAACACATACTTTCTGTTTATACACAATGCCCCAAGGCCGTTAGGGCTAGAAAAAAACTTGACTAGAAATTGAAGAACCTCATATGGAGACTAAATGCAAATCATAAGATTGATTCATGCAATAAAGAGAGAAAATGCTGTGCAATATTTAAAAGTTAGTCACTTGAGAAAGGATGCGAAGCACTTAATTCGGAGAAAATGTTAACAGGAATCTCAAAATAAAAGGATTCAGATGAATTATTCATCTTCAAGAAGGTCGAAATAGCACTTGTGTTCTGCGTGGTAGTGGAATCATCTGCAGAAATTGGTATGAGCGGGCCATCCAAAGTTCGACGTTAAATATGGCCACTTTCAAGTTCCTGGCTCAAAAATTGCCTCCGATACAA